GCCACAACTACTGAGCCTGCGTGCCACAACTACTGAAGCCTGCGCTCCTAGACCCCGTGCTCCACAACAAGAGAAGCCACCGCAATGAGAAGCCGGCGCACCACAACAAAGAGTAGCCCCCACTCGACACAACTAGAAAAAGCCCACACACATCAATAAAGACCCAAAGCAACCAAAACTAAATAAATAGAAAATTACAATGTCTGAGTTAAAAAAAAAAATCACTGCATAGATTAACAGTAAATTAGACACTGCAGAAGGCAATGAAGACATAGCACTAGAAACAATCCAAAAGGAAACAAACAAAAAGAAATAATTTTTAAAAATGAAAAGAGTGTCAGTGAGATAAAGAACAATTTCAAGTGGCTGAATACATATATTTTTAGAGTCACTGAAGGAGAAACAAGATGGAGAGAGAGAAAAATAATGGCCCCAAATTTTCCAGATGGGCTAAAACAGTAAACCCATAGATCCAAGAAGCTTAATAAACCTCAAACACAATAAATTGCTAATGTAAGCAAGACACAGGAGCAACATCTTTAAATTACTAAAAGAAAAATATGCCAATCTAGAATACTGTACCCAGCCATAATAGCTTACAAAAGCAAAAGCAGAAAGAATTCATCATTAACAAACCTGAAATATAAGAAATAATAAAATATATCCTTCAGGCAGAAAGATAATGAAATCAGATGAAAATATGGATGTATGCAAAAGAATGAAGAACACCAAAAATGTAAGTACATGAGTAAACAATAAAACTATTAATTAAATACACTTAAAGGATAATTACTCTTTTAGGAAAATAACAATGAATCATGAAACTTATGTATATGAGTAAAATGTATGACAATATAGCATAAAGACTTGGAGGAGAGAAATAAAAGTATACTATATAAGGTTCTTTTACTGTATATGAAGTGTTAGAATAGCACTTGAGGGCACACTGTGATATGTTAAATATAAATATATAAACCCTAAAGTAATCACTAAATTAACAAAAGAGTTATAATAAACCAACAAAAGAAATAAAATGGAATGATAAATACACTCAATCTAAAAGAAGATAGAAAAAGAGAAGAAAGGAAACAAAGAAAACTGAAACAATAGAAAACAAATAGCACAATGATAAACTTAAACCCAACCACAACAATATCATATTAAACATAAATGGTCTAAACACCCCAATGTAAAGATAACAATGTCAGATTGGATTAGGAAAAAAAAAAAAGAAAAAGAAAAGAATAAAGACCTAAATACATGCTGTCTACAAGAAACCCATTTTAAATATAACAGCACAAGTAATATAAGAGTAAAAAAATAAAAAATGGTAAATCATTCTAACATTAATCAGAAGAAAGCTGAGAAAGTTATATTAATACCAGAAAAAAGATTTTGGAGCAAAAAATGTAACATGTATACAGACAACCATTTCACAATGATAAAGGGATTGATTCATCAAGAGAATATAAAAATTACAAATGTTTATTCACTTAATAACAGAGCTTCAAAATGCATAAAGTAAAAACTGATAGAACTATAAGGAGAAACAGATATATCCACAATCATCATCAGAGCTTTCAGTACCATTCTTTCAAGTATTGATACAACAAGAAGATAGAAAATCAGAAAGGATTTAGAAGACTTGAACAACACAATCAACCAATTTGATCTAACTAGCACTCATAGAAAAACTCATCCATAAATAGAAGAAAATACATGATTTTAAACTGGACACGGAAAACAATGATAGACCATATCCTGTGCCATAAAACCAGTCTTAATAAATTTAAAATGATCCAGCAACACCACTCCTGGGCATATATCCAGAGAAAATCATAATTCAAGAAGATACATGCACCTCAATGTTCATTGCAGCACTGTTTACAATAGCCAAGACAGGGAAGCAACCTAAATGTCCATCAACTGAGGAATGGATAAAGAAGATGTGGTACATATATACAATGGAATATTACTCAGCCATTAAAAAGGATGAAATAATGCATTTGCAGCAACATGAATGGACCTGGAGATTATCATAATAAGTGAAGTCAGACAGACAAAGACAAATATCATATGATATCACTAATATGTGGAATCTAAAAAAAAATTATACAAATGAACTTATTTACAAAACAGAAACAGATTCACAGAGTTAGAGAACAAACTTATGGTTATGGGGGAAGGGTCACGGGGAGGGATAGATTAGGAGTTTGGAATTGACATATACACACTGCTATATTTAAAACAGATAACCAACAAGGCCCTATTGTACAGCACAGGGAACCCTGCTCAATATTCTATAACAACCTAAATGGAAAAAGAACTTGAAAATACGTATAACTGAATCACTTTGCTGTACACCTGAAACTAACACAACTTTGTTAATCAACTATACTCCAATATAATATAAAAATTAAAAAAAAATGATTAAAGTCATAAAAAGTGTATACTCTGATATAGTGGAATCAAATTAAAATTCAATGACAGAAAGTTATCTGAAAAATCCCCAAATATTTGGAAATTAAGTAACATGCATCTAAAGAATCCATGGGTCAAAGAAGAAAACAAAAGGGAAATTAAAAGGTATTTTGAACTGAATGAAAATGAAAACACAATTTATCAAAAATCTGTGGTAAGCCACTAAAGCAGTAATTAGGGAAAATTACTTGTCTTACAAGAAAAATCTCAAATCAACAACTTCAGCTACCACCTTAAAAATCTAGAAAAAAGAGGAACAAACTAAATCTAAAATAAGCCAAAGAAAAGAAATAACAAAGGTCAGAGTAGAAATCAATGAAATGGAAAACAATAGCAAAGGTAGGTGAAATCAAAGCTGATTCTTTGAGAAGATAAATAAATTACACAACCTTCTTTCCAGATTGATCAGGAAAAAAAAGAGATGACAGAAATTACCGATATCAAGAATGAGAATGATATCACTATAAATTCCATAAATATTTAAAAAAATAACAGAATATCACAATTTTTTGCCAGTAAATTTTATAACTTACACAAAATGGATAAATTCTTTGAAATACACAAGGTACCAAAATCACTTAAGAAGAAATCCGTAACCTGAATAGCCCTATATCTATCAGAGAATTAAATTAGCAATTAAAACCTTCTTACAAGAAAAGCTCCAAGCTCAGATTATTTCACTTGTGAATTTTACCAAACAATTCTTTTTTAATACATTACTAATTCTACCCAAACTCTTTCAGAAAACTAAAAAGGATAAAATATTCTGCAATTTATTTTGAGAGGCCAGAATTATCCTGACAGCAAAACAGACACAAGCATTACCAGAAAACTACTGATCAAAATACCTGACAAATAAGGATGCAAAAATCTAAACAAAATTTTAACACAATAAATCCAACAATATACACAAAAAGATAGTGCATCATGACCATGTGGAATTAATTTATTCCAGGAATACAAGGGTTTTTTTTTAAATCCTTTGAAAATGCATCAATATAATCTACTGTATTAACAAACTAAGAAACATAAACTATGATCATTTCAATGGACACAGAGAATTCAACATTCATAACAAATAAAGATTCAAGCACTGTGCTGGGAGTAGGACAGACTGGCTGTGGAACTTTGGGAAGGTCACAGACCTCTCTGGGATTCACTACTTGATCTATAAAAATGCGCCTGGTAATCATTCAGAGACTAATGTTAGCAACATGGCGGCATAAGAATTTTCACCCCCACCCCCCTACCCCCCCATCACCCCTCTAACAACCTCCATCAAAAAATCAATTTGAACCAATCGGAGTAATGGCATTGTGGGGACAATTTGAACCGAAAAATCAATTTGAACAGCTGTCCGTGCACAGAAATACTTCACAAGAACTAAGGTTTCTAGGTGAGGGATAATTGCACCTGGGTGAAGCACAAAACTAAGAAAAGATGCTTTGAGGAGGGTAGGAAAGATAGATTCACATTACTCTTATAACCTCTCCCCCAAGCCTGAGCAGCCCAGTGCAGAGAGAGAAACCGTCCCTGTGGAAGGAAAGAGAAAAGTGAGACCAGCTTCACTTTGCACTCCACAGCCAGCTCCCATGGCTGTAGGTGGCTCCTAGAAGACTTCTGTGTGCATCCAGGACTCTGGCTCATCCCAGCAACTGCTGTCTCCAGGGGCTCCAGCAGCTTCCATGGCACCAGGCTCCCAGTGGGCTCCCACGAACCCAGGTCTCCAAGTCACCCTGACACCTGCCAGCTCCGAAGGCCCCCAGGTGATCTACACTTGAACCCGGGTTTCCGGCTGGGCCCAGCACTAGGCCAACTACCACCAGCTCAGGCTTTTGACCTACCCTGGAACCAGGCTGGCTCCCAGGCTCCTGACACTCCAGCACTCCAGGCCTGCCCTCATGGCCCAGCCTCAAGGCCAGCTCCCTCAGACCCAGGCTCCCCGCCTGCCATAAGCCAGACCAGCCCTGCAGACCCACCTCCAGGATGTCACAGCCTCCTGTATACTCTTTAAGTAAACTTAAAGCACTCCTTAAGATCCACTTTCTGCATCTTCTCCTGCATGTCTGAATAATTTCCAAATCCTCTTCCTTAGCATGAAAGACAACTATCTCAGTACATCTCACTAGAAAAGACAACTCCTTGAACTTCTTTATCTCAGTCCCAGAGATAATATATTTACAGATCAAGGTCTTCAAAAATGTAACCTGTAGGCCTTCCCAAGTAGAAACGGACAAATCCTTTTTTGAATTAACTAACACTTTAGTATATGACTTTGTGGATCCAATTTAGAGAATCAGAAATTCTCTACAAGTACAATTTGCTACCTCCCCCTGTAGAAAATCATACCAAAAAGCACACAGGTGTGGGAACTAGGAAACAAACACCGAACAGTGAAACTTCCCAGTGCCTTCCCAGTTCAGAGGACACCAAGTCTCCAAAGGTATTTAGAAAATCCCAGTTTCCCTCCTCTGTCACACCATCTCAACGAAAGAGGAAGTCTTGAACTTTCTACTTACCTGTGTAGAGGTCCGTATCTGTGTATTCATCCACTTTCTTGTGCTGCAGAATATAATCAGAGACCTTGGTCCCAATAGCTGGCTGGACATCTACCCACTCCAAGGAGACCACGGTGCTGGAGGGCTCTACTGCTGGGGAGAGCCGCAGCCTAGGGGAGTGACAGGGAAGGTTGTTTGTTTGCCAGCCAGTACTGTCTGGACCCCAAGAGTTTGCACAGGCCAAGATTAAAAGCACAGGGTTCAGTCTGGCTTCAACCCACCACCATACCCCTTGTGTAGACTTAGGCAATTAATTATACCTCTTTCAGCCTCCGTTTCCTTGTTCATAATGGACAAGAAAGAGCCACCTTTTGGATCAATGTGGAATCCAGTAAATTAATCCAAGTACATAGTGTGTGCTCACAGCAAGTTGATTAGCTTTCCATTTGTTTAAACTATATTCTCAATGATGCTTCACTGTCAATTAAATTGGCAGTGCTTTCAAACACAGTCATCTGCCAACCTCTCTGCCATTCTCTTCAATCCCCCAGTATATCAGTCAATGCTTTAATATCAATACTCCCTCACAGCGGGCAGGGATCCTGGGGAATCCTTTTACAAAGCAAGAAATAACAGAATGTTTGAAGGTGAGAACTGGGTGGGAGGGGTCCTCTGAGAGAGGGAAGGGCAATCCCCCCATTTCATGGAAGGTGAAAGCAAAGGCCAGAAAAGGAGATGATCTGCACAAAGTCACACAGCAAATTGGGGACAGAACCATGATGGTGACTTTGCTTGTCCCCAGCCCAGATTCCTTCTCTCTTTCCACTATATCCACTAACTCTGCAAGGACTGTCTTACAATGGACCCTCAGTATTGGCTCCTGCCCAGACCTCCTCCACTCATCACACCACTCTCCCTCTTAATCACACTGCCCCAATCAAGAAGATCTTCCTTTACTTCCTCAAAGGGTGAGTTTCCTGAGTCAGGGCTTTCCCATGGGCTCTGTCTTTTTCCTGAAACACGTCTGTTGCCATTTGCTGCCTGGCAAACTCTGACTCTAATTCAGGTCTTCTCAGAGAGGCTTCCCAGACTACCTCCCTCTCCTCCAACTAAAGCATCCCCTCTTTGTTCTGTCCATTAGCACATCTTTGTTTTTCTTTCATATTTTTATTATTTAAATGTTTAAACGGTATCATGCTTTCCTGTTTTTGCTTTGACATCTGTCCCCCTCACTAAACGGTCAGTTCCCTAAGTGCACAGGCTGTGCCTGTCTTGCTCATTTATGAATTCCCCAATGTCTGACACACAGCAGGTGTTCAAAACTTCTTTGTTGAATGAATGAATAATATAAAGTTTCTTAGAAAAGGTCCTACACTTTCTTTATCTCAGTAGTCCCAGTGGTCAACACAGAACTGGCAAAGCAGTAGTTAGTGCTCAGTAAACCTTTGCCGAATGGATGAGTGAAGAAAAGTAATGATGGCTGGCTCGGTGCTATTAAAATAGCACACACTGCAGTGTAAGTGTCTACCCCCGAGCCACGATTCCATTCTGCCAAAGCTCCCTGCTTTCTCAAAGAAGGAGGTAGGCCCCCAGAGACTTCAGGCATCTGGTGAAGCACCTTAGGAACAGAAGCAAGCCATGGCCTGCACTGGCAGGACAAGAGTATGAGTCCATGGAAAGGGGTGGCCAGAGGAAGAGGGGCCATACATACGTACACCGGCTGCGGGAGAGGGCTGCAGTTGGGGAGCCCACTGGCATCAAAGGCGCTGAGGTCACACCTGCACCAGTCATCGATCACGTCCCCTTTCCCTGAGCACCAGTAGGAGCTCATCAGTGCACTCTTGAAGGCCTGGAATAAAGGAGGACAAAAGAGATGATTATGACAATGGTGGAGAGATGGAGAGTGAAGGTCCCAGTGGCCATGATAGTCACTGACCCAAGCTTCAGAGGAGCTCTCCTGGGCACAGGACAACATCTCTTGCATAAAGCCCCAGCATTCTACCACCAGGTTCTTCTATTTTGAGCCATTCTCCACCCAAAAGCCAGAAGGATAACTGAGACAGGATAGTAATAGCATCCACTGAGAACTTCCCCTGGGCCTGACACTCTACTCTAAGTATATTAACTTATTTCATCTTCAGTACCTTACACGATAGCTGTAATAAAAATTATCATTATTTCCCATTCTACAAACTGGAAAACTGGGGCACACAGAAGGTAAGTAATTTGTCTGAGGTTCATAGCTACTAAGTGATGGGACTGAGATCTGATCCAAGACAGTCTGGCTCCAGACCCTGCCCTCCTTAACACCTTGCCACACTGCTTCTTGTAGAAATCTGACCACCTCACCACCCTGCTTTGAAACATTCAGAGGCTCCCCATAGCCCTCAGGATAAAGTCTAAACTCCATGCTCTAGTTCCTGACCACCTTCTTAGTCTCATCTCTCACCACTCCTCTGATTTTCCTTTGCATGCTACCATCCACCCTCATGCAACCATTAACATTTCCACCAACAGTGAATTCCTGCTTATGAAAAGTGTGCTCTAAATCAGGAGACAGCAAAGTGTTTCTGCAAAGGACCAGACAGTAAATATTTTTGACTTTATGGCCAGGCAGTCTCTGCCACAATAACTCAACTCTGCCTTTGTAGCATGAAAGCGACACAAATTATAAATAAATGGGCATGTTTGTGTTCCAATAAAACTTTATTTACTAAGACAGCCGACAGGCTAGACTTGTTCTGAGGTACATTGTTTGCTGACCCTTGCTCTAAATGATGATTTATTGATTGATTATTATTATTTTGGCTGTGTTGGGTCTTCGTTGCTGCTGCGCGGGCTTTCTCTAGCTGTAGCGAGTGGGGGCTACTCTTCTTTGTGGTGTATGGTTTTCTCATTGCGGTGGCTTCTCTTGTTGCGGAGCACGGGCTCTAGGCGTGTGGGCTTCAGAAGTTGCAGAGCGTGGGCTCAGTAGTTGTGGTGCGCGGACTCTATAGCTCAGGCTCAGTAGTTGTGGTGCATGGGGTTAGTTGTTCCACAGCAAATGGGATCTTCCCGGACCAGGGATCAAACCCGTGTCCCCTGCATTGGCAGGTGGATTCTTAACCACTGTGCCACCAGGGAAGTCCCCTGATGTTCTATTTAATTGCAATGTGCTTCACTGTCTCTCTCTTTCTCTCTCTCTCTTTTTTTTTTTTTTAAATACATCCTGTCCTCTCTACTGGACTACTCAACCCCACCCCCACCTTGGAATCCAATTCACTCTTTTGGTCTCAGATGAAATCTTCTTTTCTATGGGAACCCTACCTTGACTTTCTTAAGACTGTAATCAGGCTCCTCTTCTGGACACCACAACACACTAGACCACACCTAATCATCACATTCCCTTGCCTATCTCACCCAACAGACTTTGATTCCACAAAGGGCACAGGCCATGCCTTGTTCACATGAGTGTTCCCATGGGACTGAGAACACTTATTCAGTCAATATTTACTGAATAAATGAACAGACACTGAAAAATTGATCATGAGGCTGAGGTTCAGATGTGTTTTATGCTTTCGTCACTCCATTTACACTGACATTTCAAGGCACTGGGGATTCAAAATGTTTGACAGCTCTTTTTCAAACTTGGGGATTCCAGAGAATGTTGATCTCTTACTCCTTTGCCAGGTAACAGACTACCTGCTTGCTTTCTTTTTTCTTTTAATTTTTTTTTTTTTTTTTTTTTTTTTTTTTTACCTTCTGTGTACTTTTCCAACTAAAGCTTCACAAAACCTACTACCAAGGACACTTGATTACGCAGGTGACACTTTTTCCATCTTGCATTTTTTTGGTTGTTCTTTATTTATTTATTTATTTTTTGGCTGCACTGGGTCTTTATTGCTGCATGTGGGCTTTCTCTAGTTGTGGCGAGCCGGGGCTACTCTTCATTGCGGTGCGCGGGCTTCTCATTGTGGTGGCTTCTCTTGTGGAGTACGAGCTCTAGGCACGTAGGCTTCAGTAGCTGTAGCACACAGGTTCAGTAGTTGTGACTCGTGGGCTCTAGAGCACAGGCTCAGTAGCTGTGGTGCACAGGCTTAGCTGCTCTATAGCATGTGGGATCTTCCCAGACCAGGGCTCGAACCTACATCCCCTGCATTGGCAGGTGGATTCTTAACCACTGCGCCACCAGGGAAGCCCTTCATCTTGCATTGTTGAAAAGACTCAAGTACAGCATGTTTGTGTAAAGTGGGTCTGGGGTCTGCCTCCTTAGCTACTCAGAACACAGATCTAGAAGGAGAACGTGTGTATCAAGGACACTACTGTGTAAGCCTCCAACACATTCCTCTCAGTGCCTCTGATGAGAAGGCTCCAGTTATTCCTGCCATATGTCCTTACTCATATCCTCTCCAAGGGGTGAACAAATGATCAAATTTCTCCTGAATTAAGGATAGTGACCCAAAGAAATAAAAAGAATTATAAGAGCTAATGTCCATGAAGCACCTAATTATGCAGTGGAAGGTACTTTAAGGGCATTAAAGTGTCATTCTCACAATAGTCCTGAGACACAGATACTGTGATCTTCATTTACAGGTGAGAACTAGAAACCAGAACAGTGAAGAAATATTCCCAAGATCACATAGCAAGCAAATGATGGAAGCAGAATCCCAACCCAGATCTCTGTGACTCCCAAGCATAGGTCTTTTCTATTTAACCACTCAGGACAGTGGGGTTGACTCCAGGTAGGATTGCCAGATTCAGTAAATAAAAATACAGGATGCCCAGTTAAACTCACATTCCAAATAAACAACTTTTTTAAGTATAAATATATCCCATTCAGTGTTTGCATATAAATTATGTGGGCCAGAGTCTGGCACACAATAATAGCACTGTTCTTACTACAAGTTAGAACTTAGGTTAGGAACAACATAGGTTCTCCTACTGGCACTAGAGGGAGCACTCTCATGAGGGCAGAAACCAGATGGGATGGGTCATGCTGACTGACAGACTTTCTTCTCCCTCCATTTGCCGGCTCCCTCTGATTTAAATTAACATGTACAACTGCTCGTGGTTTAAGATTCTGTAACATCTCCAGCTAGAGCTAAGGGCTTAATTATCATAATGGTGAGATCCAGGGCCATGGATGAAAGTGACACAGATGGTAAGAGATTGCCTTGGACTCCAGCAAGGGGAGGAGAGAGAACATCCTGTTTTGTGTACGTGTTTTTGTTTTTGCGTGTGTGCGTGTGTGTGTGTGTGTGTGTGTGTGTGTGGTTTTTGTAATCAACAGTCACTGGAGCTTGTGAAAAACAAAACAGGAAATCTCTCTGGACTTTGTGAGTTTCACCATCCAAGCAGCTCTTGGGAAGAAACATTGCCTGTGAGTCTCCACATCCACTGGCTCTTTCCCAAACCCTGAGGAACAGAACGGGGACTGCAGCAGTGGCCAGGCAAACCGTGGCTAGAGCTCAAACACACCCTGATAAAAGGCCTACATCAAACAGGGAGCCCTCGCGAGGCAGCAGAAGCCAGCATGCATCAGCTCAGGTTCACTCTTTTCTTACATCTCCAGTCCTTGCAACACTCCATCCCGAATCCAAATAGATCCCAAGGGAGGAACAGCATAGAATGTTCCAGCTTCCAGGGACTCCATAAATCATCTAAGTGAATCTGTTTTACAGATGCACATACAGTGGCCCAGAAATGCTAGTTGGCTGGCCCAAGGTGATAGAGCAACTTTGTGGTGAAATGACTCTATTCCTCCATTTAATCCTCAAAATTACCCTTTATGGGTGTCCTATTCCCATTCACAGACACATGGATGAGTAGGATTTGAACTGAAGTTCGTCTGAATTCTGGCACCCTGAACTTTCCCAGGTCGCACAGGAACTATAAATGCCAAGATTTCATCCAAAACATCCTTTTCAGCTGTTCTGCTTGTATCACGTGCTTATGTGTTGTTTGTTGTGTGCATGTGTGTGTGCCTGTGTGTGTTCTCAGAGGAAAATGAAACCTTACACTAGAGGCATTGTTGACTCCTAGCTTTTGAAAAAGTGAAGGCACTTAAGAAACAAATCCTGTACTTAATACAGGGCTAAGGGCTACATTTGCATGGTCACTGGTTTTCATGACAATGAAGGTTTGCATTTCCACTACTAGTGAATGCTTCCAACTTCTGGCTAATTACCTAGCAAACCAAGCCCCTCAGGATGCGAAAACAGCCGCAAAAATGTTAAGCAATCAAAATAAACTAGGATTTATTCTTGACTCCACTGTTACTTCCCTAATTGAACTTTGCATAAGTTATTTCTCCAGTTAAGCCTCAATTTGTCCATCTGTAAAATGAGGACACAGAAGTTTTATTTTGGAGGGTTTAATTAACTGAACTTCCTCCTCCATACTACATGCCATCTAGATGCTGAGAAAGATGATGGACAAGACCCAGTCACTAACTTCAAAGGACTCACAGTCTAGTGATGAAGGCGCACACAATTACAATTAATATGGTTGAAATGCTGTGAAGTAACATGCAGGAGGTTATGGGAATACAAAGGAAGAGGACTTTCCAGCTCTAAAAACTTTGACAATGTCTTGGGAATCTTAAACTTCAAGTTAACACTCCGTATTTGATTAAGATAGATTCTTGGGACCATCTATACAGAATGTCACTAAGCCTATGAATTAAATTCCATACTCTATACTTACAATGACTATTTTTTACACTGAAAAATTATACTCAGGGGCTGACACCAAATCTGCTATTTTTGATACGGAGTTGGTTCTGCTTTGTATAACCAAAAAGATGCCCTGAAGTCCTCACTCAAAGCTTCATGAATGTTATCTTCAGTACTAATAAGCTTGGTCAGGTGG